TTGTAGGATTATTATTTTGTTATCTTTTTTATTGCCAATTTATTACACAAGAACATTATCAAAAAGTAATAATTATAATATAAAAAAAGTTGAAATAAAAGAGTTTACGCAAGTTAGTAATTGGAAGAGGAAAACTCTTACAGGCTTACAGCTGTTAATTAAGAGGAAAACTTCATTGAAATATAAAGTTCAAGAACTAATTAATCAAAGTTAAACCCTATTCATAATTTCTCTTTTTCTCATAATCCTTCTCTCTTATGTTTCTTCAGTTTCTGTAACATGTCAAGCCTTTACGAAAGTGAAAAACCCAAACTGAAGATTACGAAAGCCGAAGTGAAACTGGTGATTACTTCAAAATATGGCCAAAACCCACCAAAATTAATCCTAACGAAGAATCGCCAACTACAACTGCCATCTTCTCCATTCTTATTAAAGATTCTTATATTTACTCTCTGCAACTTTATCTTTCACCAGATGATGATGTTAATGACTTGAAAGACTTAATCTTTAGTCAAATGGATGATCAAACACTCGAGGTTGAATGTGATTTATTGATGAATAACAATACGTTGTCAACGTGCGATACAATTTGGAAGATAAGCTACTTGCCGTGGAGATTCCTTTCTGGTCATCAATGATCGATAGTATTTTGAAATGTGTTCGTGATATGGCGGAAAATAAAGAATTCGAGAGCTACAAGGTTTTGCATATGCATGCCAGGGTTGATATTATTGTTGATGAGCATGATGAGTTGTTTCCTGAAGACGATGAAAATGAATAGAAGAAGAATTTCCTGACGATATGGAGGTGGAACCTGTGAGAGTGCCTGCAAGTGAATCAGCCATTGAGAAACTGGAGATGATCAAGATTGAAGATGAATCAAGATCATGTGCGGTGTGCCTGGAAGAGATTTTACTTGGTTCGCAAGTAACAAGAATGCCTTGTGCTCATCTCTTTAATGGCGATTGCATTTTGAATTGGCTAAGAAAGAGCAAATTTTGTCCATTATGTAGGTTTGAATTGGATTAATTTGTTGACTGTGGTTATTACTTTGCACGGGTTAATTCCCATTTGGGAGTCTCGCCAAGTCCAATTAGTAAATAAACTTAAAGTTGGTTTGTAAATATTTAAGTCTGTAACAGTTTATCCCAAATGCGATTAGGTTTATTATTATCCTAATATAATAGTGGAAAACCTAATGTGAAAATTAGAAAGCAAGATTGAATTGCTGATACTTTTCATTATTGTATTCTGCAGATTTTTAAAACTAGATAAAATTACTCTATTTGAATGTTGGACGTAGTTCTTTGATTCACTAAAACATGGTACATTAATTGTCTTTTGTTACTTTTCTACTTTCCTTGTTGTATGTTTTGGTAGTGGTTTCAACATAATTTTGGTTTTGATGGGATTTGTCTAGATTTAGGGTGTTATTATACGTGTAATTTCTGTTATATAAAAGAATTTTTCAAATATTTGCAATCTCAGTCAACGTTTATACTTTATACAGTTACAAACATTATCTTAATTCAAGTTTGGCTATCAATATTTAAAGTAAATTGTAGGATAAATTTTGTTTTCTGGGTATTTGAAAATTGCAATTAATTATCTTTTTATTGCCAATTTTAAGCAAAGTCTATCATAGCAACCACGATATATGTAACTATATAATTAATGAATATTATAATTTATTTAGCAAAGAACTTGAATCTAAATTAACTCAGATCATTCATATAATATAAACCTAGAATTTATTTTGTTTGGGTTATATTTAAGTCATTTAACATAATGGGATTGGAATATATCTTTATTAAAGTTGATCTATTAATTTAGATTAGATTGGATTTGATTTGATTCTATTTGAAAAAATCTGATGAGCATCCTATAAATAAATGATAAATATATACCAAATAATATATCCAACTACAGAAATCTTAAAAACCAATAAACCATGCACTAGAAAATTATTATTAAAGTAAAATAAAAACCTTTTTCAACAAATGGTATGACCAATACAACTTCTAAATAAAAGAACCGAAAATCTTTCCAATAAAATAAAATTAAAAAAATAGAAATTAACGTAACTATTATACACAAATGATATTACATTATCTGTATTAATAAATATCAAAGAATTAATACTGTATAATTCAAAATTCCTAATTATTGAGAGGACCCTTTTTCTTTTTTTCTTTTTTCTTTTTTTTTCATGCTATGTAAGTGATCAAGGGTCTCTGCTGGCTATGCTCTTGATGATTTTCATTGTCGTTGGCGCAGCTAAATTCTTGTATTTCCAATATCTCAACTCTTCTGTTAGTCTTCTTTCTGATTTTGATGGCCACTTCCTGTGGGATGAACTTGCCACAAACGCTCACTCTACATTGCTTCTTCTCTATTAAATGAGTCTCCAACTCTATAATTAATCACCAAGGAAAAAGAAAATTTATTCGACAATTTATCGCGGTTCAACCAATCAATATATTTATGTTTATATGCACAAATTCATAATAATACAATAATGAAATTATGAAAACACCTCACCTTGCATATCAAGAAGAGCTCTCCTAACTTTCCTGTAGCAGCCATTGCAGTCAATGTTGATCCTCATCACCATGCAGAAAAACTGCATTATTATTATTATGAATGTTTTTGCAGAGAAATTATAAAAATGCAAAGAGAGGAAGCTATCTATTTATAGATAGATGTAATATAATATAACATTGTAGTGCAATTTGAGCTTGCCTTTTTCTGCCATGAAGTTGGTGATGGGGGATGCTGAGAATAAGGACCGACGATCATTAATTATTATGAGCTGGAAGAAGAGAATTTTTGTTTAACTTAATCCTGGAATAGGATTCTGGTGTTGGTAAGACTGAGAATTAAATGCATATATGTAGCGTAGATTGTCCATTATTCTTGACTTCTTTGTATAAAATTGCATGCGCACTTGAGGAGAGCATCCCTTTCTTTGTTCCAGAGGCTTATTCTTCAAAGGGAAAGTCTTCATTTCTAGTGTATAATTCTCCGGAAAAGTGAAAAAAGGAACACAAAAGGTGATAAATTATATACTACCAAGTGCTGGTAGAATCCCACCTAAAACGCGTATTTCTAATTAGTCAAGCAATAAGCAGATACCCACCTACCGTTGAACGAGTTCGATTTTCAATATTATTGATAATGTTACAAAGCAAACATTGTAGTATGGTTTAACAAAAGGTTTAATGTTTGAAAAATTTTGCCTTTACAACTCAATCTCACAACCTTCTATTACAATCTTAACATAGTCACAACCTTCTATTACAATCTTAACATAGTAGCAGATTGGCACAATGGCATTGTTACGTTAGTTTCCACTACACTTAAGACATTAAAGACATTACTAGAAATGAGCGGTCGTTTTTTATAAAAGAAATGTTATTCTCTTGGTTGTTCCTTAAAGAATAGTCATACATTTCATCAGGAATGGTTATTCCTTATCATGAACAGTTATTAGGAATGATTATCCTTATTTATGAACGGTCATTCTTTCATCCTTCATAAGGAACAGTCGTTCTTTATAAAAAAGGAACAGTTATTTCTTTAATCTAATCAAAATCATTTTGAGGTGACAATGCTAACTCAGTTGCCACGCTGGGAGCTTATAAGAGAAGTTAGTAATAAATAGTTATTAGTGCAACATTACTCTTAGTGTTTACTTAGAACACTTGAAACACACGAAACTAACACTTAGCATGTTTCAGTTTATCTTAGAAAAGTTTTCGCCATAACATTTCGTGAGTTTTTTTTGTAAGTTACTGTTAATGTATATTATTGCAATTGTCATTGATTAATTACATCAAATTATTGTGGAAAAGTAGAGGGTACATCTCTTGTACAAAAAACAACCCAATAAAAACCTGCCACATATACATTTATTTCACTTCAATACTGATTTTTCAAGCAGAACACAAGACTCATAATTTGTAAATAACATTGATTTGAGATCAACTATAGGAAGGAAACCATGCAGCTGTAGGTGATTTGCTAGATAAATTGTTGCATGCAGCAGAAGCTTTTCTTGATGAAGATCCTTCATTGACAGGTTTATAAGTAAGAATCACCTTCTTCTTTGATACATTCACCACCATAGATTCCACATCTAAATGAAACAGAACTTGAAATTCTTACATACACACTTGAAATTCAAAGAACCACAAAGGCCTTGAAATTGAAGAAACATACCAATATCAACTCTTGAAATTGCATTGGCTACCTTCTCTTGGCACTTGGCACACCTTAAATCAGCTGCTAAAATCACTTCCTGCAACTAAAACAAAAAAACCATTCTCCCAAAATTCATCATCATTATTATTTGCAGTCTCCATTCAAAAAAGAGAGAGAGAACAAACCGGAGGTTCCATATCGTGTAGCAGATGCCCATTCACCCCTTTTTTTTGGCTTTAGATTGAGTTTAAGTGTAAGAAAGCAAGGCAATGAAAATATAAGAGTTGACGTTGGTTAAGTTTAGGGTAATTATAATCCAATATGAGGTTGTCAATTTTTCACAAGAACTGGACCAGTATTGATTGAGAAATCTCTTCTTCTTTAGCCGACTAAAGTTCTTAACAGCGAAGAGATGGAGATATAGCATGTGACAGAACAATAAATTGAGGGGTCATACTTCTATATCATGGACCAATGTCTATTTTTAGTAAGATTCTATGTGTTACAAATCAGTGTTGAAATTATTACATTATTGTTCTATGTTTTTGGCAGAGCTAGAACTTTTCTGATAAGACTTTTTGGGGAACTTTAATTTATACAGCAACGTACCAAAGTACAGAGCGTTGGTTATCTAGCAGAGTGAAAGAGAGAACAAAAATTGCATGTTAAAATAACACACACCATGCATGTAATGTAACAACTCACTTACACTCAGAAAATGCACTTCCCATTTATAAAAACACACAAAAAACTAAAACTGTTAATTAATTTTCCTCAAGAACACGCACAAACAAAAAACAAGAAACACCCCATGGCCCCTGTTCAGTCTCTTCCTTTTATTGCCACAACCTCTCTGGCCATGTTGCTCCTTTTTGTCCTTCCTCCAGCTGCCCTTTCTCAAGGCCCTGCCACCCAGACACCTCCGACCATAACCAACTGCGCTTCACGCTTGCTACCACTATCCCCATGTGCACCATTTGTCCAAGGCACAACCCAGTCGCCGGCACAGATGTGTTGTATTAACCTCAAGCAGATCTACAACCAGCAACCTGCTTGCCTTTGCCTCTTGCTTAATGGCACTACGTTGAGCAATATGCCTATTAACTCCACACTAGCCCTGCAGCTGCCTGTTCTTTGTGGCCTTGAAGCTAACGGCTCTGCCTGTTCTGGTATAATTATTTCAATGTTTAAGATCACATATAGCATATTTATTTTTGTGCACCTCATTTTTATGCATTGTTCTGATTTCATCAAAGGGGTACCTGCGCCTGCCGGTTCTCAAGTTTCCTTTGGCTCTAATGCCAACGCTACTGTTGCTGGTATGCAAATGACATAATTTTAAACACCCTTTAATTGTCTTTGCTATGATCATTAAATTTTTTATTCATTGGGTTTCAGCTTCTCCTATGCGGGTTCCAGTGGCACCTACACCGAGCATGATGGGACTTGGACTCGGCGGGAGTTCTGGGATAATGTTGAAAGCAGGAGGTGAATTGGTAGTTGTGGCTGCAGTTTCAGTAATTCTGATTGCAATACGTGGAGTCTAACAATCCAACATTAGCTTTTTTAATTCAGTCACTATCAGTAGGTGATTATGGTGTTCCTGGTGAATTTAACTAGTAATTACGATAAGTATTAGCATTAAACAATCAGCTTTGGTATAATTTACTATGTTCCTCTTTGAGTTGCGTTCAGATGTTATTATCATTTATGTTTGTAAGCAAGGATTGCTTGTTTTGGGGTAAAGGACAGCAGTGGCAGAATTAAAATTAGCATATTGCATACAAGAAAATAGATATTTTAAAATTGCAAATTCTCAAAAATTAGTGGTCTTGAGCCACAAACAAATACGAACTACACTACTAACCAGAGAGATTATGTAACATAAGTTTTCTGTAATCCTGAAACGGGTATATTTCAAGCATTCTTATACCAGAAGTTCAAATCAGTTCTGAATTTCTGTTCACTACTACATCTATTGAGATTTTCCAGAAGATTTTAATGCACCAAAACAATTTTTTCTTTCTAGAAAATTTCTCCCATTAAGTTTTCGGCTGTTTTCTTTGTAAGACTGCTTTCTGCCCTGCCTACAAATACACTAAAATCATCAAATTTCAGAGAAAAACGGGTTCCCCAAGAAACCAAACCTAGCCTTCCTATTGCTTTCTGCCCTGCCTACAAATACACTAAAATCATCAAATTTCAGAGAAAAAAGGGTTCCCCCAGAAACCAAACCTGGCCTTCCTACAAGCACAACTGCAAAGATCAAATTGATGGACGTCTAGGCAATTTGCCGGTAATATAATGCACAATAGCATATCTTTTTGTATCAACATGTGATAATATGTTAAGATACATCTGAGAAGATAAATTACAAACATTACCTTATAAATTGAGGGCAATGCCTTCAATTGGGATTTTCTTTCGCCTAGAACTATATCGTGTCTGGAATACAATTTCTATTCCAGTCATTTGAAGGATGACTAATCCAAACTAGGCGCTACCTCTGTTGGGTTGGACTCGAAGACATCTGAATCGGATGCCTCAGGTCCTTCTAAAAGCTCTCGAGATTGAACCGACTCTTTATACGCAGGTGTCTCCTTAAAATCTGTTGCTCCTTCATTGTATGTAACCACAGCAATACCACATGCAATTAGCTGTATGATTACCGAAAAAAAAAAAAAAACAGAAGAAGAATCAGATCAGCCTGGAGAGTCATCAAGAATTAGCTTCATCAAACGCCCAAAAATTAATGCATAAGTGGTTATTTCTTAACCTACAACAAAATCAACTGCGCCAAAATGAATTAAAAGAAAAATGTTAAAACTCTCAAACATGCAAAACCTCGTTAGCTGATCATCATGTAAGAAACAGAAAATCATTTCAATTTAACTAAAATTTCCGAACTCAGATAACTCTCTAGTCAGTCCTGATATTAATTATATCAAGAACGTGCTTACTCACTGTTGGATTCTTACATGTAGAATACCACCCAATCCAATGAGTGAATCCAACGATCTTTAAGCATGGTCCTCCCTCACTAGAGAATTTCCGAACTTCCCTAGACCATTTATAGTAAAACATGCTGATCATAATAGATTCCTCATTAGATGGTACTGGACATTAGCCGCCACTAAATATTTTCAATAAGAATAATAACATTACAAATTCTGACTTAATTTCCAAACCTTCTAAGTGTAAAATATTAATTTTGAAACAATAAATAGAACCATGTGACTCCAACTTAACCAGTACCATCTTCTACATTGGAAACCAACACGCTTCAAACCCATATTCAAGAATTCCCAATTCAACTTATTTAACATTTCTAATTTTTCAGACTCAATAAAATCAATTACACATACCGCAAAGCCGATGCCAAAAGCCCACATGTATTGCATAAAGAAACCAAACCCGTCCCACTGAGAACCCTCCCAGAAGTCGGGTTTTTCACCTGGAAGATCCGGCACAACAAGCCCATCATCAACACTCACGCCAACGTTTTCAATTTTACTAATATTACCAACGCTCTCATCTTCAATCTGAAGCCTCCGTTCTTGTGGTTCACTCGTCCGTTCTTGCTGCTCTTCCGTGGTGGTTGCGCCGCCGCTCCTCCGCTTCTTGCTGTCGAAGCGTCCGGTTCGAGAAGAGAGCTTCTTGGCAGCCGAGACTACGAGACGAGTAGGAGTAGGAGCTTGAGTAGGCGAGGTCGAGGTCGAGGTGGGGAAGAAGATGACGTGGCGACGGAGAGGATTTACTGTGCGGGTGATGTAGAGGATTCTGCCTCCTCCTCCATTGTTGCTTATGGTGAGAGCCATTGAGAAAATTTGAGTGAGTGGATGAGAGTGTTGAGTTTGAATATCTTTTATGGTTCGTTGTGGATGAGGAGATTGAATGATTCTGTTTATATGTTTCTGATCCGATTTAGTTTCCGACCCGGATTTTTATTGGGCTGGATCATTGGGCTTGGCCCATGCTTTTATTGATTCTAATGCCTAATTATCATTTTATATTGAAATAAAATTATAATAATATTTGAAACTTTTAAATGTTGGAAAAACTAGAGAAAAAACAAAAAAAAGAGCACTCAGGTTGGAAAACTTTCAAATTGTTCGTCTCTTTACAACTCTTCTATCTTATCTATTTTTGAAACAACTAAAAACAATATTTATGTGTTCCATCTTACTTTTAATTATTGGGTTTCAAGATGTTGATGCAATAAATCGTAACAATGAGAGGTGTGACTGATAGTGTTAGAATTACATCGTATGCTTGCGTAATTCTGACATATCAACGATGGAACAAAACGATTGTATATGAACAGCAAGTAAACACAAATAACAAAAGATTTTTAAAGTAATTCAACAGTTTGTAATACAAAGTCTATGTCCCCTATTTTGTATTGAGCGTATTTATGATCAGAGTTACTTGCTTTGGAGAAAAACGTATTAATAGCTTATATGTCATGGGAAGATTCTAATTTTGAGGATGCGGTACTTATTAGCGAAGATATTTATACTTCTTTTCACATACGAAAATAGGAAATTCAGACTCATGTGACAAGCCAAGGTCCCGAAAGGATCACTAATGAAATCTCGCATCTAGAAGCCCGTTTATTTTGCAATTTAAACAAAAATGGAATTGTGAAGAGTTATCTCAAGTTTTCCTTTGAGTTTTATTTTTTTTAGTCTAGTTGTCCATCAAAGAATTATCTCAAATTCTCTCTCGTAATTTCTTTTTCTTAGTCTACCCGTATGTCTATATATGTATCTTGTTATCACTCAAAACATATTAGGATTGAGTTTGTATAACACCCGTTACAAGCTTGAATTAAAAATACAGTAATTAAATATAATAATTATGATCAATTTGTGAAATTTCAAATACCGACTTTGAACAAGTTGTGATTGGTAAACAAATATTAATTTTTTTGAAGTAGAATTTGGCGATGAACTTGATATGATGGTAAATCTTGGAGGACTGGAAAGGGTGTTATTACCTGGACAAATTTTAGAGTTAATGTCTCTTTTAAGTCTTATGTTTCGAAAAATATCAGCGAAATGAAAAGTCAGCATTAATCTCAACCTCAATCAAATCAAACATGTTAAAACTTCATTCCAAATTAATACACACCGTTCAACTTGTGATCAGTTGCCAGATCAGCCTGATGCAATTTTGAGCGAGAAATCACTCATTTCGATTCTGATTAGATTTCCCCATATGGAAATTTGAATCAATAAATTAAAATATATAAAAAAAAAAAAAAATTGACGAGTTAGACTGAGTCATCCGTACATTCTTTCACTGAACATATATATCGTCTATTTTTACCACCATTTTTAATATATTCAAGAAGTTAACATCATCTTTTGCGTTCAAGGAAATTTCATCTTCTTCTGAGTAAATATTTAAATAAAATAACAAACAAATTTGCTAAACTTTTTTTTTCCCAGGGCTAACACCTGTTGCATTAACATTCTAACTTCTTCTTCTTCATTTTTTACCTACCGTATTATCAACATTTTTCATTGTTAAATACACGTTTCGGCTGTACGAAACATTAAATTTTTTCTTTTTTTACGAAGCTGAGAGTGACTCTTGCCGCCACGTGTATTCCGAGATTTCGGCTGGTTCATAACTATCGAATAAACCTCCCCCTAGTGTAATAAAATCATGAGAGACGTTGTCATTATCCGAGTCACCAACGATTCCGAACTTGTACGCGTCGTAACTCAGAATTCCGTCGTCAAAACCTAACCCGATATTATCAAATGCAACGGCCAGCTCAGGTCCGCTCGCCTTCAAATCAATGGCTTCTCCGGCATTCTGCTCGTCTCCGGCCGAAAAAGCCGGAGGCAAGCCGAGCTCGTCGTCGGAAGCTTCTAGAAGATAACCTAGCTCAGGCCTCTGTTCTCCGGAATCTGACGTCACCACCGGCGGCAGCTCGCATGGGAAGAGAATCTCCTCTTCGAAGCTCTTAATCACCGAATCCAGCCCCTGAATGGCCGGGTCAGGGTCGGACTCGTCGAGAATGCTGCTAAACAAATCGTCCTGAATACGCTTCGCAGCCGGCGAGTTCATACCGGAAGAGTCATCCGAGTTGGACGCATCAGCAGCAACAGCGTTCATCCCGGCAGAGTTCTCATCCGAGTTGGCTGAGTCAACTCGGGAGAGTTTAGACTCGGCCGAGTCGGAATCGTCCGAGTTGTCTTCGGAGACTCGCTTCCTCTTGTTGTTATTTTCGTTGTTGCTGTAATGGACGTTATCTTCCTTGTACTCCTCCATTATAATGAACAGTATTAAAAACAGAGAGTAATAATGCCTTCAGTTTGGAAGAGAAAAGAAAAGCTGAATCGTCGAAGATAGATTCCGAGTTAAGAAGTAACTTGAAACTGAGTTGAAGAGATGCAGAGAGAGGAATTGTTGTTGGTGTTGAAAGATAGAGAGAGAAAATGTGAGGTTGGAGATGAGAGGGAAATAGAAATGAAGAGGATATATATAGTGAAGAAGATGAAAGATGTTTAAAATTATTTTAATAAATATTTTAATTAAAAAGAGAGAGAGAGTTAGTTTAATATAAAGACAGGCGCGTGTAGAGCGGAGCGGAGGCTTAAAGGCCACATCCATTCACGGACCTTTCATGCCTTTTCTTCTACTTGTCTTTATTTCTATTATTATTATTATTATTATTATTAATTTAATTATTTTAAGTTTTGCTTTTCTGTCAATTAACTAAATTTAAAACAAGACTTTGAAATCCGTTAGTGGGGCCCAGGGAGTTAGGAGGAGAGACGGAATAATCTTGTGGTGGGCTTGGTGCGATTTGGATTTGGCTGAGTGAGTGACTTGGTTAAGTAGTCTAACTAAAGAGATAGAGATATTTGGGTCTGCTTTGCTGTCGTTTTGAATGGGAGGTTTCGTTTGACACGCTCCGTTTTGTTCAGGGTATTTTTGNTTATTAATTTAATTATTTTAAGTTTTGCTTTTCTGTCAATTAACTAAATTTAAAACAAGACTTTGAAATCCGTTAGTGGGGCCAAGGGAGTTAGGAGGAGAGAGGGAATAATCTTGTGGTGGGCTTGGTGCGATTTGCATTTGGCTGAGTGAGTGACTTGGTGAAGTAGTCTAACTAAAGAGAGAGAGATATTTGGGTCTGCTTTGCTGTCGTTTTGAATGGGAGGTTTCGTTTGACACGCTCCGTTTTGTTCAGGGTATTTTTGGTATTTTAGTAGAAACTAAATATAGCCAACCAAATTTGTCTTCTATTCAAATGGTTTTAGTGGTGCGTATCTCTTACCCTCATTCCATTCAAATTTCAAATATATCTTATCTTCTTTCGTCGTTATGGAAGCCAGAAATTTGTTCAGTTTTAATTACTTTTTTTATAAATATGGGTGTAACCGTCCCTAATTAGTCAAATCATAATTAGATATGTGAGACTCATAAATAAATAAATAATTGAAACTTATTACAAATTATTAAGTTAAAATTGTGATAAAAAAATTTATAAAATTAGATTATAAGTATAATATTTTTCTAATTTAAAATATACTCTATAATACTAAAATGTTATAAAGAATTTTGGTAATCAATAAATATTTATTTTAATTTAAACATTAAAGGTATTAAGTTATCTCATCCAAATTTCATTTAAATAATTATTAATGTTTGAATTTATTAAAACTTGTAAAGGAAGGGAAACTTGTTCAAAGGTATATTCTAGAAATTTCTCAGTTTAATAAAGAAATCAACAGGAAAATTGCACGCCGGTTAGCAACTAAAAAGATCTTGGTTGACTAACGAACAAGCCAACGTGGCGCCCTTATTTTCCAACCGTCCGTTCAGTCCCTATTTCGGTCGGTCCTGCTTGAATTTGTAATAGGAAGGGGCCCACGTGTACGACAACGCATCAGGACCATTTAATTTAATTTTTTTTTTTAAAAAAAAAACTGAAAAACCAACAACATAAGTAAAGTAAAAAGAAAATGTCTCAACTAATGTAGCCAAAGTACAGGGACCCACCTCACATGAAACCAGAACAAGTCCTTCCCATCGCAATTACCAGTTTCGGTACGATCCTAACGCACCTAACCAAACATGTTTTCAGATTAGGTTTCTTAAAATCAACGGGTCCCATTAATGTTCCTACATTTCAAAAATTTTAAATAAACAATTTTTATATTAATATCTAAATAAACAGATTTATCTTTATCAGATTATTTCAAATTAAAATTAATAAATTATATATAGTCTTGACAATCCATCAACTTTTTATAGGTAGATTAGATATGTAAAGAATCCCTAAAAACTTAAATTGAAATATATCCTTATATAAAATTGAAGCAAAGTATTTTTCATTAATATATACCTTCAACATAATTTAATATAAATTATATATTGCAAATTATTAAATTATAAATAATTTTTAAACTAATAAAACAATATATTTTTGAATATTTTATAAAGACTCACATAAAATTTGTTTTATAGTGTTTATTTTAAATTTTTTAGATAATAAATTTAAACTTTTTGATTTTAATACTTTCATAATAATTCCTGTCATTTAATTCTAAATAATCTATAATTTAATTCTAAATTAATATTTTTTCAATAATTAAATGTTAAACTTGATGTATAAAGTATAAACCAACGACTTTTCTAACCGAATCTATAGCTGCCTTGGCTAATCAAGCCGCTAAATAAGCGGCGCCGACATTTTAAAAATCGGCTTGTACAAATTCCAAGACTTAACAGCAAAGCCAGATCATTCTCTGCGGCTCTCATCCATGCACGGCGCCACGTTATTTAAATCTAAGCACACGTGGCTTTGCCACCAGAATAGTAGCCCACGTAACCGGTAATCTTTTTGCCGCCTCCTTTTCGGATAAGTCTTAACCACGCACCGACCGTCTATTTCCGAGACCGGCTCTTCCGGTAAACAAGAATAAATGTCAAATAAAGCGCAGACTGACACGTATTGGCGGTGACACAAACAAGCCCGTCAGTCACATGCTTTTGTCCGTACTTGTCACTTGTCAGTGCGGTAAGTGAGGCATCAAATGCTTTGTTGTGACGTGGATTTCACGGTGGTGCTAGTGAGATTATCATGAAAGCAACGAGATATTTTTTGTGTACGCTTTACGTAAATATCCCTGATGTGTTGGCGCAATTACGTGATAGCTACCTACCTTTTTTTAAGGCTTGTTTGGTTACATGTAATGTCATGCCCTATCATAGGATAAGGATCTGTCCTAACTCCCTTTAAGATAAGCTTTTTATGTACATTAGTTTAATCTAGCCTGATAATAATATTATCTGGTAAGAAACTTTTTCTTATTTTAATTTTAAAAAATTAATTCAAAATTCTCTTCAATTATTAAAATTCTTAATAAAAGAAAAATGTAAACACATATATGTAACTATGCATGACATTATTTAGTTGAACAGATTCATCACATTACTTGAGTGAAGTTATAAGATAATCACACCAATAAAGTGAGAGAAGACGATTTCATATAATTTTTCCTTATCACGTAAATATTTCATTTAAAAATTGATTTTAATGCAGATTTATGAGACAATTAATGTGATATCTCGATGGTATTTAGTATTTATCATATTTTTCTTTCTTTTACATCATGCTTTTGACATGAAAATACCAAAAAAAAAAAAAAAAAAAAAGTAAGTTCACAAAAATATCTAACATAAACCCGTGTTATATGCCTTCTAGTTCACATCAACATTTTCCTTAGAAAATGAAACACCTTTGGTTAGAGCATTAAGAATTGAAAAAGACATTGATTCAATAAATTTATATTTTGTTAATAAAAATGAAATATTAGTTGAGTTTTTAATATGCAAACAAAATAAGGTGGCCCTAATTGAACCAAAATTTAATTAACCCATATCTATATTTTAGAAATTGACAATTTGTATTTACAAATTCCACATGCCTTTGAGACCTAACTATCTTCAATTTGTGTTAGCCTTTTTTTTTTGGTATATAACCACCGTTTTGCCTCACCTATACCTACAAAATTATTATATAATTTAATTGTACTCACGTAATTTCTATAACACAAGATATATGAATATCGAAACCTTAATAAATTTTCAAAAATAAAAAGAATAATATTACATTTCTCGAATGAAATCCCAAGTTTCTCATCTTAAAATATATGGGGTTCACATAACAATTACCTAAATTAAAAATTTAGGATAAAAATTAGCTCACAACTCTATTTTATAAACTTTCTTTCACAATCCCGATGTGATAGTTTGTAAATAAATAGGCAGGACCCATAATAAGCAGACAATATCAATTGCAAACTGTCATGTCGGAATTATAAAATAAAATTTATAAAATTAAATTATAAGTGTAGTATTATCTCCTCCATTTTAGGTGCATATATGGATGTGCATTTATGTTTTTAGGAAAATTGAAAAGAAGTTTCTTGATTCCACCGGCTTTATAATTAGTTTCTCTTTAGAAGAACATTATTCATTTTCCCACTTTTTCTTTTACTGGAAAATTCTCCCAGAAATGTCAGCTTCTGCTGGCCTGGATTGTCATTATGTAGAAATCTATCATGTGCACCACTTGCCTCCATTATACATATTTTTTAATTTTTCCTTTTTTTTCTTTTTTTTTTGAAAATCTTCTCTTTTATTTTTTAAATAAAAATAAAATTAGCATGTGCCCTTCAACATCACACAAATACATTTTCTTTACAAAAGATAAAATAATATATTATTGAAATCATTAATATCATCAAAAAAAAAAAAAAAATTCACTTAAAATTACCCATAAAAAAATTGAAGAAAAAACAAAGGCTTTTAATTAATTAAAATTACTTAATAAAAAAAGAATATTTTTCACAGTTTTTTTTTTTTTTTTAAAGTACTTTCTCAAAACAAAAATATAGATTTTTTTAAATAAAAATTCCTATAAAATGTTTTACTTAAAAAATATATGCCAAGCATTATCTCTTCCAAGTAATCACGTGTTCGGCTTCTCCAAAGTGATGATAGAATCAAGTAAAACTTAGGTAGCATATTATTTGCTTGCTCTCTTCAACTAAGCCAAGTATGGTGTATTTGTAACTCTCTTAAACAGCAAAAAAATTATTCACTTTTTCAATTGTCGTAATTTTAGGTTAATTCCATTTCCACCGATAAAGTTTCCAATAAAACAGGTTAAGGTATTTTCGTCTTTTAAAATTGAAAAAATTAGGTTAAGCTATTTGGTGATATAATTTTCATTTGAAGAATTAATTTTTCTAGTT